CCTGCCTTCGCCTGATTGCCGGCCGGGATTGGCTCCGGCCCCCCCCGTGACCCCATTCAGGGATTAAGTGGTAGAAGATGAATGAATGAATGAAATCAGACATAACAACTTTTCCAGCCTCAAACCTGTGTCTTCCCCCACACAACCACATACAGTCCCACAGTAGTGAAATTAATTCCAACAGGTAGCGTAGCACCAACAATAACATAATGGATCGTTAGAACCCTCTCGCCAACACACAACACATCACATACTGCAGACACACTGGCTTCACACAGTCAAAACAAGCAGGTACTGTGCTTCAGGGGAATCCAGCATTGATGGGCTGATCGTTCACCGCCCCGGGGTGCATCATGGCCGGCTGCCTGTAAGTTAGACCTGTAGGAACATCCCCAGACAAGCAGTAACCTCAGTCCTTGTATTTTTCTCCACATCCTCTTGTCACAGTGCAACAGCAGGAGGTAAAATATATCCATCAAACCGCAAGCAGTCAAAAAATAACATTTTTAAAATGGCACCGGTGGGTGTCAGGCAAGCTCACATGAATGCACAACTGCCTGGATAATACTTTATTTTGTGACACAAATAGTTTCATGAGCGAGAGTTTGCAAGATGTGTATAAACTGGTTGCTTCTGCATGGAGGTACTAGAACATACGTACATCTTATTTTTTGAGTTTTAGATCACATCTAAGATGATAATTCACCGTTGTAACAACATTGTAGATAAGTCAGAAAACAAATAAAAACATGCCATGGGCTCTTTAATGAATGATTTGATGGTGTGTAGTACTGGCTTTGGCTGTTACTGCTCTCCTTTTGCATTTTTTTTGAACTTGTATTACTGATTTAGGATATTGGATATTTCAGTTCAATTCAGAGGTCTTTATTGGCATGAGAATTTCAATGCATCAAAAACACAATAACTGAACATATTCTTGTTAAAATAATTGGACAATTCAAATAAAGAGAGAGAGAAAAATGTAGATTTAAATTTTGGGTACGTTGTTTATTAATGTTTCATTCAGAATCCATAGATGGTCCTTCAAACACTCCCTGCATGATCTTCCAGAATGCTGTGGTCCATAATTACTGCATTTATAGTAGCTTTTCTGAAAAATGGAGCTGCCCTTTCCTTTTCTCTTCTTTTGCTCTAAACTGCAATTTAAACTCAGTGGTAAAAAGGGGGAGACTCCTGTATCTAATTGGTTCCTGTTATAGAAAAAGTCTGTTCAGAACGAGTTCAGATACTAGTAGTTACCTGTTGAATTAATGTGAGTGGTCTGTTACCCTCCTTTTAATAGATGATAAGGGATGGTGTTCCAGTATTGTCAGCCAGAACACTGACCAATCACATTCATGCAAGCACACATTCCTG